CGGATAAACGAGCTTGTTCATGAACATAAATGAACAAGTCAATAAACGAGCTTGTTCGTGAACATAAATGAACCAAACAAACATCTGTTTGTGTTCGTTCGTTTATTAAATGAACATAAAAAAATTGTTCAAACTTGTTTATTTAGCTTAATGAACAAACATAAATGAACTTTATATGAATGTGTAAGCACCATTTTTGCCCAGCCATCTGACCAGCACAACAACCCCACGTTGTTGTTCACCAACTCACCAAATCCCAGTAGCCCCATGCTCAAGCCATCCCGCTGTCACTACCAACGCCACAGTAACACAGCCAACAACCCCATCAGTAAATCATCGCAACAAATAAAAAACAAAAAAGAAATGTAACTGAGAACGACTTATAAAGACCCCAACAACATATTTCTCCCGGGTTTTTATTCTTTTTTTCTCTGCAAAAAATTTTGTAACGATTCATTCCCCATTTTTCAATATCAATATAACAACAACAAGCATCTTTAAGGGTATATCCATTCCATTTTTCTAGAAACTTTTTTTGGTACTTTTATTTAGAATAGAGTCAGAAAAAGGAAGAGTGGAGAGCGTTACCATTCGGACGGAGCCTCACCAGCATTTGGGGAGTCGGTTCGCAGATCCGAACGATAAGGAGGAGCGTCTCGAGGAGGGGAGCAGCATACTAAAATTTGGGCCCGATCCAATGGCGAATGACGGAGATCCGGGTGGTGGAAGCCAAAAGGATCTCGGCTTATTTCGAGGCATTGGGGTTGTTTTTCACAAAATCGAGCCCGGATCAGTGACCACCGCGTCAAGACGAGTCTCCCGATAAATTTTGGTGGCCAACGACCACCAGAGACGGTGGCCGGCGAGGGCCTGACGACCGGCCGAAATTCTAGAGAGAGGGGAGACCCTCTCTATAAAAAATAAAAAAAATAGAAAAATGGAATGTTAAAAAAGAAAAGAAAAAGTTTGTATTTATAAAACAATTTCGGAGGAAATCACGTTTTAGGTCCCCAACAATTCTCGTGTTTTTACAAAATGGTCACTAGAAGGGATCATTTTTATAATTTTCCATTTTCTGTTTGTACTTTGAAATTTTTAGTCTAATTTTAGTTTAGTCCCTCATATTTAGCTTGTTTTTACATTTTAGTCATATGTAGTGACCTTTTAAATTTTTTTCGTGGACTGATTTTGTAATTTTGTCTTTTTATTTTAACAAATTTTTTAGGCTTAAATAAGTGGTATAACGTCCTTTGGTCCCTTTAATTTCTAGTGTGTTTTGTATTTTGTTCTATAATTCTTTTATTTTTATTTTGTTTCGATTTAGCCTTCAAAGTTTATTTTATTTTAATTTAGTCCTTTATTATATGTTTCATTTATTTTATTTTTTGAGCTTGTAATTAGAAATTCATGCAATTAGGTCCTTATTTTATGTTAATTTTATTTTTTATGTTGTTTTTTTTCTTTTTTCTTTATTTATTTATTGTTTTAATTGTTTAAATTAAGCTTATTAAATGTTTCTTTTTTATAGTTTAATTTATTAGATTTAATTTTAAATTAGATTAACAATCGAATCGAGCTTAAAATTTAGGATGACACTCTAGTTTAATTAGGGAGCAATTTGAGTCGAGTTTTCGTATAAGATTCCCGATTACTCAAATCGATTGCTCGACTTTTAAAATTTATTAATAATTAATATTTTCTAAAAAAACTTTAAGTTTAATAATTTAGATAATAATTAGGTTTTTTAATTAGCCATCTACTTTAGAAATTATTGATTTAGGTCCTTAAACTTTTAGTCTCTTAGAGCCCGATATTTTTAGATCTTGACCTTTTAGTCCCCGAACTTCGATTAATGTTTTAATTTTGACATAATTAAATAGGTTAAATATAGCCTCCATTTTTAGTTAGATTTCAAACTAGTCTTTTAATTTAGGGAATAGTTCGAGTGGACTCTCGCATATATGCTCGAGTGACCATCTTGGTTGTTCGATTCAATAATCTGTTTAAAATCAAATAAGGTTAATATTAGAGCCTACATTTTTAGGTTTGAGCTTCTAGGTTCCTTTAATTTCATAATTTGAAACCTTAAGCTAGAAAAAGCCTTTAATTTACCTTAGCTTAATTAGGATTGAATAAAACTTTGTTTGATTGCATTTTTATTTTTAAATATAAGGCAATGTTCATTTATTAGGGAATTAATAGTATATCTCCCACAATCATGCTTAGGGGGTGACTACTGGTAATTCCCGAAATAAGTTGACATCCTTTTTAAAGACCATGTCATGATTTTCTAAAAACGAGGTAATATTTGGTTATTAGGTACAATAACTGATCTCCTGCATTTACGCTTGGGAACGAATGTTATCAATCTCGATAAACAAATATCTTTTTTAACTTTGCATCCGTAATGATTTTCAAATTAAATAAAGATCGAACTCAAAATTTTCGATTTTAAATATAGGGTAATCAACTAGGTACCAATTTTTGGGCGCTTGTGGGGGTGCTAATCCTTCCCCACGCGTAACTGACTCCTGAACCTAATTTCTGGATTTTTGCAGACCTTAAAACTTGGTATTTTGATAAAAATAAAATGTGTTATTAAAATCGTCCGATTTTTATGGTGTTCCAATCGAGCCTTAAATGATTGGTGGCGAATTCTCACATTTCGAAACACTTTTCAAAGAGAACCCCGAGTCGGTATCGGTTTTTCCCCGCTCAGGCGAAAAACGGTGTCGACAGCTTGGGGATTCTGCTGGGGACTTTTTTAAAACAACTTGAAAGTCGAGCCACGAGTTGGTTACCCTATATTTAGGATTCTAGAAATTATGAGTTTTATCTTATTTTAATTTACAATTCATTATGTTATTTCAAAAGAAAAAAATATTTTCTCTCTAATTAACGCTTACACTTATGTGAATATTTAGGATTATCGCATATCATAGCTCTGAACCCGAGTTCAAACCCGATTTACCTAAGTAGGGAGAAACGTCACACCTCATGAGAAATATTGGGCTTCCTTGTGTGGGTCTAACAAAGTATCTCTGGAAAGCATCCTAAGTTATCTATCCAGATATCGGATCCGATGTACACTTTTAGTGGTGTGATCCCCTAAGCAGAATCTGATTCGCAAGTCTGTAATGGGCCAGAATCGGAGTCAACCTTAGCAGGTTGTAAAGATGGCTTGAGAACCTTTTCTAGAACCGACCACATGTAGGGAACATAGTAAACCTACCTGCTAGAGCCATGTGAATAGCCTAGGAGAATTAGATGCATGCAGTTAGGACTATTAATTTCCTTTGTATGTTTTATTTTTCAGTCTGAACTTTGAGTCGTATTATTTTTGCTAAGATTACATTTCTTTGACTAATCATTTCAACTAACTTGACTCTTTTTTTCTTTTTTCTACTAACATTTATTCCTTTTTGTCTAGTCTTATTTTTTGTTGCATTTTTGCATGAACATGACATATCATTCAGAGGTATTGATCCCTTTCAGAGGTATTGATCCCTTAAATAACTGATCTTTTAGAAGGTTTTTGAAAAACAATGCCCACAACAATGCTTTTCACTGGGATCGAAAGAATTTTGAAGATGCTCTACGCAGATCGAGTAGTGCCAAGAGAGAGTCTACCTACTAAGGAGACAAGCCATACATCTACCTGTTGAGATAACAAGGTAGACTCAAGAAGATTTGACACTGAAGCCAACAGTTGAAGATCGCAAACTAGTTCAAAAAGATTTCTGAAAATAGGAGATGAAGTAGAACCTTTGAAGACGATGCAGTACCCAAATAATCGCAAGAGCTGGACAACTTAAAGATGGACCAGATTTTCATTTCCCTAGTGTATCGAAACATTGTCGGTTTTTCAATAATTGTTCAAGGAACAATTATTTTTGGGTTCAATTCATTGCTGCATTTGCATCTTTGATTTTGCACATCCATTTTGTATTTGCATATGCATATTTGCATTAGCATATATACATTGTATATTACACGGTAAACATTGCATCTTAACATGCATTAATCACTGATATTGGGAGTAACTTACGGAGAATCTCGTGATAAAAGTTTTGAGGTAAGAAGAAGTCACCTCATTCGTACCAAAAATTGATTGATAGTTATGGACGTGATGTTAGCATCGTCTAAAGTTCGAGGCACGTCATAAAGATATATGGGGCACCGAGGAATAAGGTCCAGAATTTCATTAACCTAGGAGCATAAACCTTTAATAATGAGACATCCTAATGCAAATCAGGAAAAATTCTTTCATCCACTGTGAAACTTTATGGCACTGGCTTTGTCATGTTTGAACGTGTTTTATTTTCTTTCTTTATTTTCTCAATAAATATTTTATTGATTGAACTTATGTCGTTTTCGAAGGTTATGAGCAATAAATCAAGATTTAATCGTGTAATTCTTTGAATATTGAATGAATTAAAGGTTCTTTTGCTACTTCATTTATTGTAGATCTTTGACAAGGGGCAAGATTAGACCTTCCATACCCTATCCAAAGCTGAAAGAACCATTGATTGGTTCCTTACCCGAAATAACACACATTTACTACCAAAAGACCAAACCTTGACATCACTTCCCTCTGAAACCATAGAGTCATGCCCTTATCCTCCCTGAGGCACCAAAATCTGTACTTTTACCTTCCCATGCAGAAATAACCTTTCCATAACATTACCTTTCTAGAATCATGACTTTAAAGTCACACATTTCCCTTCCTAGACACAGAACTAGCATTCATTTCCCAACCTTAATAAAATCGGGAGGCTTAAAGTACAAGATGGTAGTGTGTACGAGAACAATTTCTGCAAGAAAGATAATATGGAGTGTTACGGATCAAGTTTTTGCAAGGGAATTCGAATAATTGGGGTATACTAGAAGCAAAGTGAAGTAGAAATAAAGAAAATCATTGAAATAATTCTATCATGCATTAATTACATTGTTTTCATGTAAATAAGGTTAATCCTAAATACTCGTCCCCTTGGGGATACCTCTTTTACAAGGACTTTCGTGTATGAGACGATAAACGGTTTTGTTTTATTTATCTTTTCAAAAAAATATAAATATATATCCCTTCTTGTCCCCTTTTGAGCCTATAGTATTTTTCTCCTGATTCAACCCTAACCAAGGATCACCCTCCACATTGGGGGTAAAGGTGAAGGACATCTGCTCGGATGTGTGAAGATCATCAGTCCGGATTTTGTTACAAAAACAAGTCATGATAAAATAAAGTGAGAAATAACAACATACCGCAAGGTGGACCGAGTACGAAACATTCAAAGATCAAATAAAGTTGACGACACAGAGAGAAAAAAGGAAAAAATATAGCAAGAAAAACACACAAAAAAGGAAAAAAATAAGAGAAAGAAAATAAATCAAAAGAAAAGAAAAAATGAAAAAATGAAAATGAAAGAATGAGAAAGAAAAAAGAAAGAAAACAGATCCAACACTTCAAAACGAGTGACTTAAATCAATTCACCCGAAGATCATGAAACACCAAAGAAAAATAAAAAGATGATAAAAGACACGCAAGCAAATTCAAATCGAGCAAGACAAGATTGAAGATAGTAGAATGAATTGATCATTGGTTCGTTAACCCTAAACACTTACTTGGGCCTATTTATCCATTTCTTTCATAATCGTGAGCCCTGACCTATATTACGTGCCTGAAAAGTCCATTCTAATCATACATGGATTTCTAAGTGGGATACTATCTTCAGGTTTCATTCCGCCCCTCAAGGGTTAATTTTATTTGCAAAAATTAGTTTTCTAAAGTATTTAATTCATGATAGGGAAAAATAATAAAATAAGGGTTTAAGACGTAAAATTTTAGATGACGTCTTGAAGCCAAAGGAGATTTCGAGTTGAAAACCTGAAAAGGTGGCTCAAATACGAAGATTGTTAATAACTGCACAGAAGGACAATATTATACATCTCTTGATAAAACATTGCACAGTTCAAAGGTGCTCACGAGGGCTGAGAACTAGTGAACATTTCCTGAATAGAAGCATGACGGTTGCTTTATCAGATCAATGAACACCAGAATCAATGACACAAGAAGCCAACCTGAAACACATTACCTCCCAAAATTAACCTGAAACACACTAACTTCCCAAGTGAGCCTAAGATTTATATCAACATTAATCTTTACACTTTGCAAATGTATATAATTTTTGAAGGATTAAAAGAAAATTTGACTTATTTGATATTCAGTGAACTCTTGTTTTACAATTTATTTTAATTGTGAGCCGGAACAAAATGACAGCACTTTTGAAATTTATTCAACAAAAATTTTCACATTTGTAAACTAAAAGAAAGAAGATAAATATTTTCAAACCAGACAATCTAAAGTGGAAAAGGTCCTGGAAGCTGGTGATGCTCATTCTGCCTCAGTTAGAGAAGAACAAATGATGCCAGAATAATGAAGCATTTCAAAATCTTGAAAGCATTTAGTTTGAAAGATCAAAAGGATTAGAGGAAAGAATTTATAACATTTCCTTGTGATGTCGTCAATAACTCGTCAGGAAATGGATGATCGCCTTAATCAAAAAGGGGCACATATCTCAATTTATAGCAAAGATTCAAGACATTTCTGTTAGAAGAATTGACCACTTCTTAAATGTCCATCTGATTGTTGCATCATCCCTCAATTTATTCGATAACACTATTGTTTGGTGACACCAGAGTGAGACCATTCAAGATTAAGATCTTGGCACGAAGAGAGCCATGAGTACCCACATCAGGGCATTACCAAAACTAGATCTCACTGAGATAGCAAGATTCAAATCAAACAGACATGTTGAATAAGCCTCGTCGTTTGGGAGTGCCAAGGGAAAAAAGAGGACAAGCAGAGTTTACCTCACTATTTCTGATAAAACCATTGAATTAGAGCAAAAAATGGGCACCGAAACCATATGCCTAACTGTATGAGAGCACTTCTTCTAAGACTGCAACGAAGAAACCAAAGATAGAAGACAGAAAAGACATGATTGCATAGGATAACATATTACTCCTCAGAAGATGCAAGCTTAAGCTGATAAGTTGCCATTGAGGCATAATTCATTCAAGAATGATCAAGTGAAGGAAGACCGAGGTCTTCACTTTGATCCAGAAAAAGAATTGATTATCAATATTTCTACATACAAGAACCTCATGTATTACATTTAGATACATATCCATTGTATCCACATTTCATGCATCAAGGCATATTTTTACGAATTGTTTAATGAAAAGAAGAGATCATAATTCAAGTCTTAAATGGAGAGGATTTTGTTCAACGTGGCTAAGCCTCAAGGATCAAGGAGCCCAATCGAGAAGAATCATTACGTTGATGTGGGGCACGTTACCCAAATAATATGATGTTTTTAAGGGGTTTCTTGATGTCTTCAAATGAATTTGGAAATGAGCTAAGCCTAATTTTCAGGGGTTTCTTGATGTTTTTAAATGAAATTTTGAAAGAAGCTAAGCTTAATTTTAAAGGTTTCTTGATAACTGTAAATGAATCTTTTTGAAGAAGCTAAATTTATCAAGGGCATTTTTTTTACTGTGGCAATGTGCGCCCATTCACAAGTCAAGATTCATAAGAATACACTCAGGTGCGACAGATAAAGAAAACAATCAAACCAGTAAAGAATGAAGACTGCTCTAGCAATGAAGATTTCTCTTGCAACCATTTCCAACAGATCAAGAAAACCATCATTCATACAAGAATTTGCATCTTTGTATCATACATTTTATCATTTCATACACATGATAAATTTTGATTTCCCTCTCATGAAGATGCATGTAAAGTCTATTTTGAAAAACTATTTTGTCCTTCTTAGGATTATTTTTTAGAGAATTGTTTGAATCCTTCTTAGGACCGTTTTTCTTGGATGTCGCATGAGTCTTTCTTAAGATTTTTCCCTAGAAGCATTTTCAATAATGCCTTTATTCAAACTTGACTTTTTTATGTCACTTCAATGAGAATGAGTAGTGTCGTTTCCAGGATGGACCCAACAAAGAAAAAAACTCAGCAATTTGCAACATTAAGGAATTCAAAGAGTCAACAAAGATAATCTTTCGCAGGTTTAAATTTTCAAAGAGAATATGAACTGATCAACATTTCAAATGGAGAGCATAATGAGAAGAACTCATCCGACAGAGGGAGAAGAAGTTCATAATGAGAAGAGCTTGTTCAACCTATCACTTGATTCACAACATTTCGAATCAGTGAAGCCTCGCTTGAGGGATTAACATTTCAAATGGAGAGATCATAATGAGAAGAACTCATCCGACAGATGGAGAATAAGTTCATAATGAGAAGAGCTTGTTCGACCTATCACTCGATTCATGGTATTTCGAATCAGTGACACCTCGCTTGAGGGATTAACATTTCAAATGGAGAGTTCATAATGAGAAGAACTCATCCGACAGAGGGAGAAGAAGTTCATAATGAGAAGAGCTTGTTCGACCTATCACTCGATTCATAGTATTTCGAATCAGTGACGCCTCGCTTGAGGGAATAACATTTTAAATTGAGAGTTCATAATGAGAAGAACTCATCCGATAGAGGGAGAAGAATTTCATAATGAGAAGAGCTTATTCGACCTATCACTCGATTCACGACATTTTGAATCAGTGATGCCTCGCTTGAGGGATTAATATTTCAAATGGAGAGTTCATAATGAAAAGAACTCATCAAACAGAGGGAGAAGAAGTTCATAATGAGAAGAGCTTGTTCAATCTTAAGCTCGATTCATCACATATGGAGTTGAATCATCAACACCTCACTCGAGGGATCAACATTTTTTATGGAGAGTTCATAATGAGAAGAACTCATCCAATGAGGGAGAAGAAGTTCATAATGAGAAGAACTTGTTCAACCTTAGCTAGTTTCCATCACATATGAAGTTGGAACAACACCAATATTTGGCTCATCCATCGCATATGGAGTTAGATCAGCATCATCACTTTGTTCGATTTCATCACAAAAGGAAGTGGATCAACATTTCCAATGGGAGAGTTCATAATGAGAAGAACTCATCTGACGAGAGAGAAGAAGTTCACAATGGAAACTTGTTCAATCAGGTTAATCATCGCAGAAGAGAGTGGATTGACATCCCCAGCGAGGAGTTCATAACGAGAAGAACTCGCCCGATGAGAATAACTTGTAGCTAAGGAATTTAAGTAGTTCAAGCAAAAAATAATGCTTTAATTCTTTGCTCTATTTCTATTCCACAGCAACGAGCAAAGATGGGCAGTTGTAAGCACCATTTTTGCCCTACCATCTGACCAGTACAATAGCCCCATGTTGTTGTTAACCAACTCACCAAATCCTAGTAGCCCTATGCTCAAGCCGTTCCGCTGCCACTACCAACGCCACAACAACACAACCAATGACCCCATCAGCAAATCACACGCAATAAATAAAAAATAAAAAAAAAGAAATGTAATTAGAACGACTTATAAATACCCCCAAAATATATTGTAAAGGGGGTTCTCTCCCGGGTCTTTGTTCTTTTTTTCTCTGAAAAAATTTGCAACGATTCATTCCATTTTTCCAGTAACTTTTTTGATGTACTTTTATTTGTAATAGAGGCAAAAAAGGAAGAGTGGAGAGCGTTACCATTCGGCCGGAGCCTCGGCGGTGTTCGGAGAGTCGATTTGCAGATCTTAATGGTGAGGAAGAGCATCTCACTGAGGGAAGTAATATACTAAAATTTGGGCCCTATCCAATGACGGACGTCAGAGATCCGAGCAGTGGAAGCCGAGGGTTCTCGACTTATTTCAAGGCGTTGGGGGCTGTTTTTCACAAAACTGAGCCCAGATCCGTGATCACCGCGTCGAGATGAGTCTCTCGGTAAATTTTGGCGGCTAACGACCACCAAAGACGACGGCCGGTGAGCGACCGAAATTCTAGAGAGGGAGGAGACCCTCTCTCTCTAAGAAATTAAAAAAATAGAAAAAAGAAATGTTAAAAAAAAGTTTATATTTATAAAATAATTTCGGGAGAAA